AACGCAACTAAACCGAGGAACTAAAATTGTCCTTCATTCCAAATTAATAATGTTTATGTTGTGTTCGTACCAAAAGTGGAGGGTATTCTAAAAATGTTTACGTCCCAAGTAAGTATAATTACTAGTGCAAAGTATGTAGCCTATTATTATAAATTAATAAATACTTTTTATTAATTTAACTGACTTTAATTTGATGAGTCCGTTCAATACAGTGTTATTGTTATATTTCTCCCACACCTTTGGTTTCTAGCAGGCGAGGAGACTTTTCTCATGGACAGACATACAGCAGAAGAAAGGGAAGAGGAGGTATATCACTACGACCTGCTCTGTAAAAGTTACCTTCTAAAACACCATTTATTTTCAACGAGGTGTGAATGGCACAAAATTTAGAGTGGATGTAATCCTGTAAAAGCAGTAAGAGATCGAGAAGTACACAACATTTTTTCCCCTCTGATGAAAAGTAGAAACCTGAGTGGTGTGAGGACAAAATGCTTGAATATTCTTTTGTGTGTCATACAGTCACCAGCCAAGAACTGATGCTCTTCTTCACACTGACTGAGGTGGGGATTTCTGCACCTCTGTTGATCTTACTTGGATAACAGATCCTATCACTTAGGATCCAACTCAACTGATTATTTTCACTAGAAAACCATATGAGACCATTTTTCTAATCATGATTTCAGTCCTTTTTTCAGGAATTTTCATATCTACATCTGCGGTCATATTCAAATTGGACATCTGTTCATTACTTCAAACTTGGCTGTATGAAGGTTTTCATACTTCTACCCTAGTCCTTCCTCATTCTGCCTGTTTTGTGCCCAGTATCCAGAAATTCAGATCCCTCTTCCATGTCTCTTTTTCACTTTCTACGCGTGTTAATTTTAAAGAATGTTTTTTAAATATGGTTAAATGTGTTCCATGCACTGTGAGTGCTGCACTATTGTCTGTATTTTACAGAATAAATATTTAATAGACAGTGGAACTGGGTATGTGTAGAACATTGTAAAGCATGTCCTTTTAAATTCTGTGGAAATCTGATGTGTTTTATGTAGAATTCTGGGCTGCAGAGTTCTACCAAGCCTTCTTGTGTGTTTCTCTTGCCATAGCTTCCTGAATCCGATCCATTTCATCCAATAAAACTGACTCGTTCCTTTCTAGAAACTACTTTAATTGTCTTCATCCTCATTACAAATTATGTTTTAAAACAAAACTTGATCTTAATGGCATTACTTTAGATCAGTAGAGTGTATAAATTAGTAGAGCAAACAATAAACCTCAGAACACTCATGATGAATGATGTGCGCATTTATTGTTTACTGAAATCCCTTTTGACAATATAACTCATTGGGACTTTATCTAGCACTCTGTGTGCGTAACTACCGCAGAAGTTGGCGGCGGTTGGTGCCGGTGCTCAGATAAACGTGTCATTCTGTTTGATGCAGTAACAGTGCGTATGCTGAATGCAAAGTGCGACCCAGCGTGTTTGTCTCTTGCACTTCTCTGCACTGCTTGAGACCTTGACATAATGACAAACCTTACCTTATCTGTCAGGCATGGTGAATTTTTAAATAAGCTGAACAAAAGTGCGTTTCTCTCTCACACACAAGCTTTTGTAATGCCAACTCATTGCTGACAGGTGTTTTCTACAGTGTTGTTTTTGCAGCACCTGCACCCCCTCTCCTATTGGTCCTTACTACATATTTTATTTTTCTGTATATGTTTGTATATTTGTATTATTTTATTTTATTTTACAAACAAACTCTTTTGGGAACGGGAATCTTTAATTAAATTTTGTTAAATATCTGGGCAGTGAGTGAGTCAGATATTAAATCATTAACCACTCAAATGAGTGAGTCATTCATTCTGATTCAGATCAAAAGATTGCATTTGTTAGAATTTCTGGTCAATTTATAAAAAAAGACATAAGCACCATTTGTTTGTGAATCAGACGCTAGTGTTGTTTTTTTGCATGCATTCAGTGAGGAAAATGCAATAGTCATGTATTTATTGTGTTTGTTCCATTTTGTGACACACAGTCATTTCACATTGAGCCAGACAACAGACTCCACTCAAATTAAATTTTTGTTGTGCTGTAGATTCAGCAGCAGCACAGCATATTCGCTGAGTAACGGTACAAGGAATCATTGTTTAGACCAAGTTAGACATTTTCTTTGTAGATTTGTTGGTTAAATTGTTTTTAGTTAGTGTTTAAACCCACATAAAGTAGTCCTGTTTGACTTTTTCTTTTGAACCCAGTATCCATGTTCCTTGTTTGTGTTTGCAGTGTTTTAAATCTTCTCTGAGGCGCTTTCCTCAGGTTATCCAGCTTTTCCGCAGGTCACTTGGACCCATTTGCACTTGAGTATTTTGTTCTCCCTGCAGTTTTAGTTTGCACCTTTCTTTGTCCTTCACACACATTCTTTGTGCACGGCCTACATATTTCCATTCTAGTGTTGCGGCAAAAAAAATCCATTGTTGCGTGAATACACAAAAGAGTCATTTTGGTGTTTCGAAAAACCTTGTGTGTAGCCTAAATATTTAAATATTTCGGTCCTAGTGTTGCTCCACACAGAGTTCACTGAAAGTGACCTGATCCAATTGTTGCTTTCAACTCTATGCACAAAAGAATGTCAGTATTTTGTTTCTACATTTGACAGGTTTGCTTCAGCACAAGAGCTCTTTCTTCTCCTACACACCTGTGTTTTGAACTGCCCTCCATTCAAGAGAAAATAATGTAGGATTGGCCTTTCTGGATGCTTTGGAGGAAGAGGGAATTTACATGGGTTTTGTAAGAATTGCACGTCTCAGACACACTTGGGGTATAAAGTTAGAGTATTCATTAGTGCACTAATACTGCTAGGAGTGTTCTTAACCCACCCAACTAGCAGTTGTTGAGACTAAATCAATAATGGCTATGTCCACAGTCCACACTTACTCCTGAGTCTCATCGTGATGTAGGCTATATTTGCATATTTGTGTGAGCCACAGAGCAATGCATGTTTTATTGCTCAGTAATTGAGGATTGATGGCTATGCTTGTTTTGGATTTTAGAGGAATTCGATTGAATATTAAATGATACTCTATTAGTTGACTTTGCAAATTCACCTTGACGAGTCAGTACACATGAAAACCTCATACTGATTTACTTCAGGCACTTTCATGTTTTTTTTTTTTTAAAGACTTTTAGTCTGTATGAAGGTCATATTAATACAGTTCACAATGACTTAATTTTGTTTTGCTTTTCAAACGTCTTAAGTTCACCAAGACTGCATTAATTCGATCAGAAATAGTCCAAAACAGTAATAATATGAAATAATTATAAAATTATAAAAAATGAACTTTTCTATTATATTCAAAAAAAATTTGTAATGGCAAAGCTGAATTTTCAGCAGTTATTACTCCAGTCTTCAGTGTCACATGATCCTTCAGAAATAATTCTAATACGCTGATTTGGTGCACAAGACACATTTACTTTTAAGATCATCCGTTTAAATAGGTTATTCTGCTTAGTGACGTTTGTTGGGGATTTTCCCCAGTATCTTTTAAATATAAAGTGCAAAACATCATTTATTTGAATTAGAAATCTTTTGTAACATTGTTTTATTAATGTTTTTTGTTTCTAAATGATCTGAAAACAAACTTAGTGTGTAAAAATTCTTTATAAAATAATTTAAGTACTTTATCTCACATGTGACTTGTGAAGAAAATGAAAAGACAAGGTAAATATGTGAGCAGAATATTTGTGGTGTTTTCAAGCTGTAAATATTTGTCAAATTATGCTAAATGTACGAATGTGTATATTTAGGATACATGCTAGCTAGCTAAAAATAAATTAGCCTTGACTAGATTGACAGATTATTCGACATATTTAAAATGTAATTTCCATTACAGGGTGTTATTAAAAACACTGCATCATTTGAGATGTGATGGAAATGGTACCTGACTTGGTAACCAGTAATATATTACTTATATTAAACTCTTTTCAAACACACTTTACGACCTCAGGGCCAAAATCACCCATAGCTGAAAAACACCCATTTATCAAGCTGTCTTGGACATACTTGCTTTTCTCTTAAGACTCAGCACCACACAAAGGTCAGGCTTGCTACTCATTTTTAATTATGTCAGGTAATGTGATACTTTAGACTTATATAACACATATAAAGGTTTCCCCAGCCACGTAATCCTGATGCCCTTTTGTCTATCTTGAGAAATGTCACGTGTGTCATACTGGCCGTATCACAGTCCTCCGTTGTGACCGGTTGAGATGATTGCGTGATGGTTGACGTAATGAATCTGTCTTCTACTCTCTGCCAAGCTGCACAGTGACACGTTTCATGAAGTGTCCTTTTTTTAGTCCATACTCATAATATCAAGGATGGTAAAAAGACACTGTTTGGAATAGTGTGTTTGTTTAAATACTTGCATGAAAGTGGCAGTGCAGTACTGTATAGCAGACATTAGACGATCATGCTCTCCTCTTCTCATTAGGGAGCTAATGTTTACATCACCCCTCTTCTTGATCTTCATCTCTGCCTTTCTCGCGCTCTCGCTCTCCATTTTGCATCAAACCATCCATCTCTCGTCTGTCACACTGCACTTAGGGCAGCACTAACCAGCTCACCACACCTGTCAGTCACTATCAATCTGACAGGCCCAGGCTCCTCCCTCTATCAGAGTGAGTTATAGCTGAGGGGAGGGGCTAGAAATCTCATCAACAACCATAATGTGTTGTATAGTTGTGCTATATCTTCCTGTATGCAACAACTTAAGATGTAAAGCTCTTAAAAGCAATGTTTTAAATGTAGAAACACTGCATGATGTTGTGTGGGGGGAAAAAATAACTAGGGCTAAATAGCAAATTAATCCATGACTAATGTTGTTTGAGTTGTTTTTGAGCAATGACACTGCCCCCTAGTGTTCTAATGGCTGAGTGGGAATGCCTGCTTTTCAGTCTTTTGTATGAAATATTAAAAATATTCTCTCTTTTTGTCTCCCAGATGATTTTAACGGTGTATTTGAGTGATGGGGAGCAGGCGCTGACAGAGGTGCCCATCACTCCAGAGACGACGTGTCGTGATGTGGTGGAGTTCTGTAAGGAGCCAGGAGAAAGCGGCTGCCACCTGGCCGAGGTTTGGCATGGAAATGGTGAGTGTCCCCATTACAAAAATGCTTGTAACCCCATCCCTCTCGTCCTTATCTGTTTATAGCAAGTGAACACAGTAATTGTAGGTAATGACTTTTGCAGGATATGAATTAGTCTTTCATTGACTACAGTTCTTAATCTAAAAAGTGAAAAATATTGACAAGGTGAAAGCGCTCAGCTTTAATTGAAATCATTTGTACAGACTCCAATATCCTCTGATTTTCTCACCTTCCCACCCTGGCTGTTTCTTTCAGTAAAAAACATTCAGTGCTTTTATTCTTTCAAAGACACTCACGATCAGTATTTTTTAAAGAATCTGACTGCAAAGAAAAACATGCTCACTTAGTCCTTTCAGACATAACTGCTACTTCTGTTCTGACAAATGGGTCAATTTTTTCCCTTAATTTTTCCATTTCCCTTGATGATAGTGATTTGTACAAACAGCTGTGTGCCAGAAATGTTATCTTTGCTCAGGGAGCCTCCTTTCAAAAGGCCTTCCATCAGCACTGTGTCCTTTCATCTTGAAGTGCATCTGTCATTGAAATTCCGATGAGCCCAGTTATTTTACAGCAGGTGATGGATTGCACAAGATTCATCATTAGTGTCTGGTTACTAAGTGGATATTTTGCCTCACCAAATCTTTTATTGTGGTGCTCAGCAGTTCAGGCTTTGCTATGAGACTCTCAAAATAATTATTTTAGAATATCAGTAATTATTGATAATTAATATTTATTTAGAGTACTTAATTGATCATTAAAACATTCACAACTTCATTGAGCTTTTCATCCAAAAATCATAATTCAGTCATTAATTACTCACCCTCATGTCATTCCAAATCTGTTCAACTCAGTCCACACAACCAAAGCTTTGATGCTTCAAAAAGTTAATAAATAGATTGTAAAAATAATCCATATGGCAAACGGAAACTCAACCTCATTGGTTGTCACGGGTCAATCAAGTATGGCTGAGTTTCCATTTACCATATTTGATGTGCTCTATCTGTGAATAAAAGCCTAAATTAAATCTGTTTATCAATAAAGCAATCGTGTATCTTCAGAAAACTTTGATTTAACTGCTCTATTCATATGTATTACTTTTACAATGTCTTTATGAAATATTTTGATGCATCTAAGTTTTGGTTACATGGAGTAACCACCTTAGCAGCTATTTTGGAACAACCACCCACAACATCGTAGCATCATGGCTGTGACTTTTACACGAGTCGAAACCTAGTTATATAAAGTTCCTGTCCATATAGTCTGATTGTCAAACTTTTTTTTTTTTTTAACATTTAGCTGAAGCATCTGGCTCCAGGTTTTTTCGGTTAAATTTGACTGCTCTCACTTTCTTTGTTAATGTCCCTGAGCCTGTGTGCTTTTCTGATATTCTCCACTTTCATACGTTCTTCTATTTTTCTGTCGTTTTATCCCATTACTCTTTGAATGGTTGCCAGGCTTCCAGATGTCCCTCCACCTGTTAGCAATGTCCAAATTTTGTTTTTCCCCATCCATGTCTTTGTTGCCCACCCAGCCCCACCACATTCCTCTGGCTGGACGCCACGTTTGATTCAGTTTCATGTCGTCTTTGTTCTCTTGATCCCACTGTGTCTGTTCCTCTGTTCTTTCTCTTCAGGTGTGGTTTTAAGTGTGTAAAATTGGAATGAAATGCTTCTCAGCAGGAGAAGGATCTCTTTCCTGCTCTCTCTGTGAACACACTATCTCCTCACCTTTTTACAAACTTTTTTTCTGGAGGAACAAAAAATTATGTTTCTGACCTTTCTAAAATTAGAGTGGCTTGTTGTTTTATTGCCATGTCTTATGTTTTCCCCTCTCCAGAACGAGCCATACCCTTTGACCACATGATGTATGAGCACCTGCAGAAATGGGGCCCCAGAAAGCAGGAGGTGAAGTTCTACCTACGCCACGAAGACTCGCCCACTGAAAGCAGCGATCAGGGTGAGAACACTCCCACTTGACTGCCTGCAGGCCACGTCTCGCCCACTACCGCTCTCCTCTCATTGGCTGACAGTGGCTGAATGTTTTTCATTCCCTTTTCAGTGGCCTCCAACATGTGAAAGAAAGAGACAAGCACATCCTGGCTGAACAATGCAGGGTTCTGTTCCTGATTCAGTTCTGTTGTGCTTTTCACAAAACGAATGATCTCAAAGTAGCTTTGAATGTGTCAGTGCCTTCAAATTACAGTGAGCAAGGCATTGTCAATTGTAGGGCTGTGCAATTAATCGAAAAACCGTTTCGATTTCGATTTCAGCCTCCAACGATTATGAAAATACAATAGTCGAGATAAAACGATTATTGCTCCCCATTCCGCCCCCTTTCCAGCAGTGCGCTTTCGCTCCTCCATAAAAGCCCTATTTCACATGCAAATCAGTATAATCATATAACGTGCTTGATTTATTGAAGTGTATTAAACTTATTCATGTTTTTAAAAGTGCAAAAGAGAACTTGCGCTTCCACAGGAGGATTTCTGTGCCTGCGCTCAGAGACGGTACACAACACGGACATGTACAGTCATCTTTTAGCTCAAGGTGCGCACCTAAATGGTCAAATACACACAAAAATGTGTCAAAATGCGGCGCTTAGGGATTATTCACGTAAACCTTCGTCGGTCATGTAATAAATGAACATAAACAGTTGAGAATGAAAATACGTGTGTAGCGGTAAATTGGATCCGTGCGGCTCTTAAAGTGACAGTGGGCTAAAATATTCCTGCTGCCGACTGTGTGCTTAATATTAATCAAACAACAAAAGACAAATTTAAAACCACACACTGCTCTTGAGTGAAGGAATTTTGAAGCTTTAATAAGAAACAAAGAAAGTTTAATTCTTACTCAGACTATGCCGTTTCTTTTTACATTTGATTATTCATTTCTGTTAACTGAATACTTAAAACTTGCATAAAAAAACCTTAAAGCACAGTTTGTTTCATTTGTATTTTTTTATTCTATTGCATTTGTCCTTTGCTTTTTTATTACTGACAGTTTAATTATTTTCAATAATATTGAGGACTTTTTGTTTGTTTGTTACTAATATCAGTTACCCTAATACTCTGCTGTGATATTGAGAATTGAGAAATTTCTCTGGTCTATAAAATGTAGATGTCATATCAACATATCAATATTTAATATATATCACTATCCTTAAATAAATCACTCATATAAAGATTTGGCCATATAGCCCACTTATAATCGTGTTAAATAATCGTGATTACAATATTGACCAAAATAATCGTGATTAGGATTTTTGCCATAATCGAGCAGCCCTAGTCAATTGGGAAAAGAGTACCACAGTAAAATCATATCAGATACCATATTTAAGTGATATAGCTGAAATGAACTCAAAGCATATTTCAAACTGAGAATGTAAGTTGAGTAAGGCTACAAAAATGCACAACTTTGGCAGCACTGCTGTGGTGATTAAGTAATATGTTACTGGTTATATAATCAAACACCTTGCCTCGCCTCTGTCCACACTTGCCTTTACTGGACAGGTACAAACACACATTCAGACAAGCGCACAATACATACAGCTTATGTGTAACTAATTACTTTCGAATTGAGACTTATAAAATAATGAAACTTGCAAAATGAAATTTAGAAAATGTTAATTGCGCAATATTTCAGGCTCATTTTTTATCATCTGTGAATTCGTTTGATTAATTGGATAAAAATGACCAAAGGTAGATAGATGAATACAGGTTATACTATTGTTCATTGTTTAAAATATAAATAAATGAATACATTTAAAATATAGTTACATTTTATATTAAAATAAAAGTTTATTCACTGTTTTAAAGCAGAAGGACTGATTAAATCACTAAATGATAAATGTTAATTAAAAAAAAGCACAAACTAAGTGTTAACTAGTAAAAAAAATATTTTTGGAAAAGCTGTTTTGTTGCAATATATGCTAGACAAATAAAACTGACTGACGTCACATTATTGTACAGTTAGCAGGATTTTTGACCAATGAGATTTCACCATGGGCGGGTTTCTTGCATCCCCACTGAACACTGTAATGCTGCTATATGTACGTGATCCGTTTTAGTAATGATTTCTCCCTTTCTTTATCCCATCATTTGTTTGTTTTCACTCTTTCTGTTCACATCCCAGTGAGGTTTTTCCTATCATTGTAGGCAGGATTAGTTTGTAGTGAGTGTCCGCACAGTTTAAGGCATAAACCTGAAACCCCTGTTTGTGGGAGGGGAAAAAGTGGCAGTAATCCACTAAAAGCACAAGCTCCTTTCCCAGTGTCACATGGCAATAACAAACGGGCTTTTAAACTTTTCCTCCAGTCTTGTGATGATTCTGCCTCCGTTCAGCCAACGTTCATGATTATAGTTCACAACTGAAAGTGCTTTTTGTTGATAGACTCATTGTATTTTTTTCTCTGCTCTTAGGGAGCCAGCAGTCTCAGGAGCAGCCCAGCAGGAGAGGAGGAAGCAGCTCAGACATGCACAACGAGAACGGGGTTAGTTCATATCACATCCTCATCAAAATGTGGGCCTTCTTTTCTAATCTTAGCATTGTGGTTATTCCAAATGCATCCTAGGGGGTTGAATTCCACATGCTTATATTATCTTATGCTTTTCTGCTTACTGTAATGCAAAATAGCAGCTGCAAAGTTCTGGCTGAAATTGACACTCTTCAGTACCGAAGCGTTTCGATCATGTCATGTTATTCAGTTCTTCTCTCTTAACCTGAGCCAAACGCAGCCAGACCTGTCACGTCCCAGAATCACTCACCATTTTCTTTCATATAAGCATTTGTCACATCACTCATTCTTTTTGTGATCGGCTTCCTGCAAAGAGTGGTCCACTGCGCTCGTCTCCTCCAACCATTTGGCCCAGATTCCAGCAGGGGAAAAGCCAGGCTCCAGAAAGCGGAACTAATTCCACCTTTAGGGAGAAAGATGACTGTAGACCACCAGTGTATGGAACAAGAAGACACATGCATTTATGAGGGATAAATGCTTTTTTTTCTTTTGTACAGCCGTCTTAGTCTTCAGAGATGGAGTGAAGGCACAGGTAGTTGGTCGGTGTGGGAGCTGATTAGTGATGCTGTTGCCACCCAGGCATGAAGTCTCTTCAGTCTCACAGTGCTTAGCACACACTTATTTCTGACAGGTGCTGCCTTCCTGTAGGGACTGTTATGGTACTACTGTCAGGTACTACATACTACTGTCAAGTAGTCATATGGCTCTCATTTTTACTCTTTGTTTGGGAATCAAGATGGGTTTACTTATATAGCCGTGGCATTTGGCTAGTTTGGCCAATGATCCTGAACGTTCTTGATATAATTTGATTAAATGGTTTAGTTTGACAACTGAGGATTAATTTGCCATCTGTACTGAAGAAACAGAGGGTGAGACAGAATGATAATTGCTCTGCCATTATAATAGTTAACCTGAAAGAGATAGCTGATTGTAAAAGATAATGATTAAGAAGCTACGAATGCTTGCGTCACATTATCATTTCTGTTCTGAGATATTTTGGAGTGTAACAACATATAATATAATATAATATAATATAATATAATATAATATACCGTTTTACTGTTGCTGGACGAGATTTTGCCTTAGCTAACGTCAAATAATTCTCCTTGAATGTGACTACGTGTTGTTGTCCACTCTCGGACAGGACCAGCTTTTGGACTGATTCTGAGCCTCAGAGTACAGCTAAGACAGACTCCTAGATTTTGATAACAATGTAGATTTTACTAAACCTGTTGATGCCTCAAAAATTTGAATTAGGTTACAAGATCATCATGCAGAGTCTTAGGTTTAATCTTTCTAATGTTTAAGTAGCCTACACAAACATTTCATACATTAGACAATCATTTCACAGTCCGTATTAATAAGTGGAACTCAGAATAACGATCTAAGAGAGTTTTAGATTAGCCTCTGTTTAAAAAAATAGAGTAGATTATTGCGCTTAATTTGCAGACCATTTTATTGTGTATAGCGAATTATCATAGAAGGAAATAGAAAAGAAAAAAAATGATGAAAATAGTTTAATGCAATATAGGTTATAGTCAGCTATTTACGCTCGTTTCAATAATAAAGATTAATGTCCATTCATTTTCATCCATTCTCGATCTGAGAACACAGAGAAACAGATCAAGCGAGAGCGCACATTGAGGTGCCATCTAATACAAAAATACCTCCGTTAAATGATCTGTTGGGAATAATCTAACTGAGGCATAAAATACAAGAAAGGTGGTCAAATTTAACTAAGTAGGGCGCACTGCTACGATTCAAAAGTAAGTTTCATCCACACTTACATTGCGGCAGGGACAATCTCAGCAGTCACTTAATTCTCTGTCCATTAAGTAACCGTCTCCTGTGGCTTTGGCTTAATTCGGTCCAGTTTAGCTCGTGGTTGAAGTTGACTGGCACATTTGGCCAGTCAACTACGTGTATATACGCGCGGGGACACACAGGTATGTCCCGACATGTTCGCGTTGCTGTGACTGAAATCCGCTGCAGCCGAAGAAGCGGAGATGCTCGAGCTCCCACGGCCACGGTCAAAGTCCATTTCATTGAGAAATACTCTTGAATAGAAATTGTGATTCCAAAGGATTTCTCACAAAGGACTGAATATGAATCTCAAATAAAACATTTTGTTTGGATAGCTTGTTTATTTATACTAATATGGCGGAGTCTTGTTCCTCCACCACAAGCAGTCGCAATATAAATGTAACGTGTAGCTATAAAACCGTAGAATTGATTAAAAAAAAGATATTGTTTCCTCGAATAGGCTATGTTCAAGAGCTTTTCCTCGTTTTAATTACGAATTTCATGGTTAACTCGCTGCAGCAACCTCTTAAGGACACAAGGGGGCAATAATGCATTTACGTATTGACCTCCGAAGTTCACTCAAACCTTACATAACTTAATAAGACTGAAATAGCACAATTCATTTAATATTCAATTCATTTTCATATTCATTTGTAGATCATAACATTACGCCTACATTATACTGCATTCCATTATTAGACTGCATTACCCTAAGTTGAGCGCTGCAGCTCAGTGATCAGTTTTAGCCTACCAGATCAGGCCATGTTTGCTATGCCTTATTTGACCCGACTGAGAATACAAGGTATCAATTTTATTTACAATTATCAAACACATAAACTATTATGAAATTGTTAAGTGCAATTGCTAAGTGAAACGTTTTTGTTTAAGTGACTGTGGTGTGTTGATGAAAAGATCTGCAGAGACTGTTGTGTGTTCGTGTGTGTGTGTGTGTGTGTGTGTGTGTGTTTATGAGAGAGAGAGAGAGAGTAAAATTCTTTAAAACCTCATAACACGTTCTGTTGTGTTGTTATTCTCCCATTACGCCTTATTATTTTGTGGATTACACCCGTTTCATGACAACCGCATTTAAGAGGATCATCCCTGTGGTTTTACAGCATGGCTGTTTTCTCTGTTCTGACTTCTCTGTCTCTCTGAAGATGTTTCTCTCTCTCTCTCTCTCTCTCTCTCTCACACTCTCTCTCACACACACACACACACACACACACACACACACACACACACACACACACACACACACACACACACACACACACACACACACACACACACACACACACACACACACACACACACACACACACACACACACACACACACACACACACACACACACACACACACACACACACACACACACACACACACACACATACACACACAACCAGGCCCAGCGTTCACAGTATAAATCCCTGAATGTGTGGCCAGCCTGTAAAAAGGAAAAATTTTCTCCTTATGAAATAGTGGGTGGCCCCCTTTCTCTCATTTCCTCTAGCTGTCACTCCGTCTGTTTTCTTTAGCGAGAGTCTCCTTTCTAACCGCGTGCAGTGTCAGAGGGTCACTGTGGCCCTGTCTGCAGTGGAGCGTGGCGGTGCATGCTGGGACCTTCAGTCCTCTTTGTCATTCCCCTCTACTCTTTCATTTTGTCTCCTCTTTCATCCCATCCCTCCATCCCTGCACACTTTGTTCATCTACATGAGGATGCCTCTGCTCTCAATGCATAAAGAGACCGTCCTACTCAAGATCTCTTTTCAATAATACATTTTTGAACATTCACAGGCTCCTAATGCTTTGCTATGGTTAAATCAGCTGTTTTAAATCTGAATCTGTGTATGGTCCATTGTACTTGGAAAGTAATAAGAGCTGTCAGTCTTTCTCTTCTGTTGAGTCTTTGTGATTAAGTGGGTAATAGGCTGCTCTATGGTATGTAATAGAGCTAGAGCCACTGCTTATGTAGGAAGACTATGTCTGTCCATCACGCATACAGAGTTATGAGCTCCAGAACACTGAACTGTGTGGGCAGGTCATGTTTTATAAAGTTGAAGCTGTTCCTGTGTGTGGGCAGATACTCTCTCCAGGGTGTTGCAAATCAGCTCATGGGGAAATATGAATAATTAATCGTAACTAGTTATTAATCTAATGAATAACTGATTTGTTAAATCAAATGAAAAATTGTGTGTTTGATTGGTCCAGACGCTACAAGGGCTTTACATGTTCCAGGATTTGCTGTTTCTTCAATCATCTTCATGCTTTTCGTCATGAATTTTAAGTATTTAAAATGTCTCTTGATCTTTCATTCTTTTAGTTTCTACCTTATTTTTTCCACTGAAACAATTATGCATTAAGGTGTGAACTTGAATGCAACTTTATGATTTCAGGTTTATTATGGATTGCCTATAATGATATATAATGTTTGTAAAATGGTACAGCTTTTTAAATATCTGAAAGTAAAAAGCTGAAGAATTCCAAAGGAACTCCGTTATTTTTACAGGAAAATACAACAAAGTATATAGTTTACATGTAGTGTATCAATTCTGCATGTTATGTAAGTCTCGCTCTCGCTCTTTGCGCGTGTGAGAGAAAGCGATACTGAAACGGATGCTGGACACGGGGCAGAACTGCATTTAAATGGACTGTTGTTATTATCAGTCTTTGAGACTTGAGCATCCATTTCGTTTAGCCAGTCAACAAATGATATACAGTATCTCACAAAAGTGAGTACACCCCTCACATTTCAGCAACCATTTTATTATATGTTGTCAAGGGACAATACTATAGAAATGAAAATTGGATATACTTTAGACTAGTCAATGTGCAGTTTGTATAGCAGTACAGAATTACTGTCCTCTAAAAATAACTCAACATACAGCCATTGTTGTCTAAATAACTGACAACAAAAGTGAGTACAACCTAAGTGAATATGTCAAAACTGTGTCCAAAGTGTCAATATTTTGTGTGAGCACCATTGTTATCTAGCACTGCCTTAATCCTCCTGGGCATGGAATTCACCAGAGCTGCACAGGTTGTTGCTGGGATCCTTTTCCACTCCTCCATAATGACATCACGGAGTTGCTGGATGTTGGACACGTGGCACTTCTCCACCTTCCGCTTGAGGATGCCCCACAGTTGCTCAATAGGGTTCAGGTCTGGAGACATACTTGGCTACTCCATCACCTTCACCTTCAGCTTTCTCAGCAAGGCAGTTGTCATCTTGGCGGTGTGTTTGGGGTCGTTATCATGTTGGAAAACTGCCGTTCGGCCCAGTTTCTGAAGGGAGGGCATCATGTTCTGCTTCAGAATGTCACCGTACATGCTGGAATCCAAAGCCAGCTTTAGAAGAGGCTTCCTTCTGGGACGACGGCCATGCAAACCGACTGGTTGCAGTGTGTGGTGTATGGTTTGAGCACTGACAAGCTGACCTCCCGCTTCTGCAACCTCTAAAGCAATGCTGGCGTAGCACTCATGCG